GTTAGTCTACAGGAAAAACTTAAAAAACAACCAATAGTCTGGTAGCCCTTTAAAGACTAACCAAACATGTGGATGGTATCAGGAGCTTTCGTGGGCACAGCCCACTTCTTCAGATGACCAGGTTTACTGAGTTATGGGAGCGGTATTCCATCGGTAAACCCCACCCAAAGAAAGCGGAGCAGTGAAGTTCCCTCCTGTATGGTTTAGCCACTGTACGCCAGGAACTAGATCACCAGGTAACCCTGCTGCAAAAGCAGGTGGCTCAGACCTCCGAGTCCAAAAAACAAAGGGCCCAATCGAGTCAGGAGCAAGCCGCTGACCTGACGGCCTAAAAGGTCAAAGTGCCATTGCTGACTTTGCAGGTCTCCCACCTGGAGGCTCAGTTAAGAGGGTTGATCCAGCGAGTGGCCGTAGCACAGCGAGCTGATGAAATAAAAGCTGCAGAGGTGTGGGAGTCTCAAGCCGCTGTGCGGCAGCTGTTAAAGGAGGCTTGTAATAAGATGGTGGGGCCTAGCAGCCATGCGGAGTGCAGGCAGCAGCAACCCATTGGCTGCATTCAATGGGGACTGTGAGGGGACAGATGCTGACTCTGAAAACGAGAGTCCTCTTCCAAAATACTCAGAGAAGCGTCCTTCAGGGGCGATACCATCTTCCCCTACTGAGGAGATGGGCCTGAAAGAACTGAGGGAGGGTTTTCTGTTGGCACCAGTAATCAACTCAATATCCACGTGTGATGGCAACAGACAGCCCCCCTGCACTAAGCAGGAAACCAAGGCCGACACACCAGAGCAAGCCTGAGCCAGAGGCAAACATCTGGGGCCTTGTAATAAGAGTATTGGCACGAGTAGCAATGAGCCCCAATTTAACACCTGAAGATTTCGTAACTCTGGTGAGGGAATGCAGGACACCTGAGGAAGTGACTGTCTTACCTTCTGAAGCCATGGTGAATGATAACGTAAATCACGTTAATGTAGGCGTGCGGTTAAGGGACATTTTCCCCACGATAATACTGTGGGAAGAGAATATGCAGAAAAGCAGGACCCTAAAACGAGCGAGTGCCCTGAAAGATATTTCTTACGGAATAAATTACTGTCCTGGTTAGTGGGTATGGAACATGATGGAGGGAGAATTATAACCTGTGATGTCCCTGAATTGAGGACTTTGCATGTGCAGGGATTGAGTCCCCAGTATTAGATTGGCCTTAGGCCCTGTCAACACCAGGCATACGAGCTGAAGGGAACTTGAAACCTGTGCTCGAGAAAGTCATGATCTGCAACAACATACTTGTCCAGCCACCAGCCCTAGCATCGCAGGCCAAGCTCCTAATGCCAAGTCAGCAGCAAAGAAACGAGTAGCTGCTTTCAGTAAGAACAGAAATGCCAAGGAGAACCAGCCTCATCCAGAGCAGGCAGCCTCTGACCGGGAGCAAGAGCTAAGGTTCAGAGGCACAGGGGAGGAGTGAAAAGCAAGGAAAAGGTCGCTAAGAAGGAGGTGAACTAAATATGTGCCATGGAAACAGCCATCAAAACAGAAGCTGACGGCTGAGGACGTTTAGGAAGCTGGCAGCCTACGAAACTGGGCAACGACAGAATAGTTCTGCCGAGACAGCAGCATCTACTAGCCATGAGGCTGTCTCTGCGGGAAACAGACTTTGAAGGGGTCGATGTTCCCAAGACCCCCAAGTGCTGGCACCCATTGCAAATGATTGCAGGGATCGTGCCACTGGGAATCTAATTGTTAAAGGGAACGTTGGCACTATTAAGCAAAAAGCTTTGGTGGATACGGGTCCTCCACCAGCTTACTATGGACCAGAGACAATTCGATATTAAGGGACATTCCCATCAAAGAAATCAGACCCTTAACATCTTGCAGGGGGAAAGAGCTTAACATCATTTACCCAAGAACTCACGTGTGTACTGGGCCCTTGGTCCATCCGAGGGTCCAAGAGATTACAGGATCTTGAGGGATGCAGCATTCTGGGTATCAAAATGTGATGTTGTAATAGACTTGCCAAGTAGGGTAATAAGCAGGGCTGAAGATGGAGAAGCAGGGGGCGTAAGCAGGAGTTGCAGCCTTAAAGGCGCCAGAGAATCTTAACAATTCCTACATGGGAAAAAGATACAGAGCTAACTACCAATCAACACAGGGCTGCCTTTGCTACAGCTAAGTTAAGCTGTGGAAGGAGCAATGCTGCCATTAAAATCAAGGGGCCTGATCCTAAACCCATACAGCAGAACAGGTTCTCAGAGGGAGGGAAGGAAGGAACACGGCTGACCATTGAGGCTCTCGTTGAACAAGGAGTTCTAGTAGCATGTAATAGTATCTGCAATTCAAAGAAGGCAGATGGCAAGTCATGGAGACGAACAGTAAACTACCAAGCTTTACATCAGGTAACACCTAGATTAGCGCCGGTAGTAGCAAAACTCCCAGAAATGATGTCTCTTAAGTCTGGCGCATGCTGGTTCACAGTGCCTGATACAGCAAATGCCTTCTTCTCTATTCCACTGCATCCGTCATGCTACTACAAGTTTGCCTTCATACCCTTCACCCGAGTAGCACAAGGCCTGCATAACGCTCCAAGGATATGCCATATGGACGGGCCCGTCCCATGCATCACACATCATCAGCTACATTGATGATATTCTGATAACCACTAAGACCAGGGAAGAAAACCTAGAAGCCCTGGATGAAGTGCTGGAAAAGGTGAAACCAACTGGCTTTCTTGTGACTCCAAGTAAAGCTCAGACAGTCAAGCAGCAAGTATCCTACTTGGGGAACAGTGAGAGCCTCCTGGCAGAAGACCGGGTGCTAGCAGAATTGAGCTTATCTCCGAGGCACCAGTCCCAAGCTGCTCAAGAAGAACCAATCGTGGCAGTGGGGCTCGGACGACAGCACACACAGCGAATCGGCGAAGAGTAACGCTTGTGACTCCAAGTAAAGCTCAGACAGTCAAGCAGCAAGTATCCTACTTGGGGAACAGTGAGAGCCTCCTGGCAGAAGACCGGGTGCTAGCAGAATTGAGCTTATCTCCGAGGCACCAGTCCCAAGCTGCTCAAGAAGAACCAATCGTGGCAGTGGGGCTCGGACGACAGCACACACAGCGAATCGGCGAAGAGTAACGGCCGGGGACAGTGGGATCCCACAAAGAGCGGTCGGAGGCACAGTCTGCCCCTCTCAGTCCTCGGAGCCTCTGGGACTTGCTGGAAATGCGCGGGGGAGAGACGCGAGCCAATTCTGTGGCTAACTGGCCATGCAGCGGGGGTCAGCGAGGAGACGGGCTCGCGGTTTGCTTATGTTCTTTGCACTCGCAGTGCCAGGCAGAAAGACGAGACCCTGCCTGCACAGGGCCCTGTCTCCAGGCATGTCAGGCCAAGGGACCCTGCCCTTTCCTCTGTCACAGGGAGGTAGCCGTTGCTGTCTATCCACTCCTGCAGTGATGCTCTTCGGACAGGACAGGGAGCAGAGGCTGAAGAGCCGTGAGAAGGGCAGGGTGCTGGGATTGTCACCGCCAAAGGGGCTGGGAAACTCCACCATTGCAGAGCCCTGGAGAGCAGCCGGCCCGTCTCTAGGAGCTTGGTGCTGCATAGGACACACCCTTGGGAAGGGGGCTCGCCCAGAGCAGGGGAGCTTTCTGGCACCAGGCTTCCCTGTAATCCAAACGCTAGGAAATGAGGAGCAGAGCGCGCCCATGGGCAGAGGCAGCCTGCACGAGGAGCAGCAGCTGGGAGCCGTGCCAAAGGGAGATGAGGAAAGCAAAGCGGAGAGGAGCAGCAGAACCAGGCGAGGTTTCTGGAGCAGAACTTGGAGCGAGGGGAAGAGAACAGAAGGGTGGGGCAGAGGGGGTGCTGGAAGGGCTGCAGTGTACAGCCATCGGGGCCTACAGCTCTCCTGCTGACCGGTGTAACAGCTCCAGACGGGGGATTTTGGCCTGAGCTTTCTCCTCTAGAATATAGCCTCCAGCTCTGGTGCTATCCCAGCCATTCTACTTCCCTGGGAGCTCCTCGGCTGCTGCTTTGGGGCCAGGACATCACTGTGTGTCCAGAACACAAGACCAGCCAGACCTGCTCAGACCAATGGTCCATCCTGCTCAGCTGACCGTGGCCAGGACCCGGTGCTTCAGCGGGAATGAACAGAACAAGGCAACTATTGAGTAACCCAGCCCGTCAGCCAGTCTCAGCTTCTGGCAGAGCGAGGCTAGAGCCACCTAGAGCAGGGGGCTGTGTCCCTGCTCCTCCTGGCTAATAGCCACTGATGGACCTGTCCTCCAGGAACTTCCTTCACATCATCCCCCGGCAGGGAGTTCCACAGGTTGCCTGCATTGGATGAAGAAATGCTTCCTTTGGTTTGTTTTAACTCTGCTGTCTGTGAATTTCCTCAGGGACCCCTGATTCTTGTGTGATGTGCAGGGTAAACACCACTTCTCTGTTCCTTTCCTCCACACCAGTCAGGGTTTAGAGACCCCCCTCAGATCCTTTTCCAGGGTACACAGCCCCAGGCTTTGCAACCTCTCCTCAGCTGGCAGCCATTGCATCCCTGGGAGCATTTCTGTTGCCCTTCTCTGATCTTTCCCAATGATATCTGGGGGGGTTAATGATGGGGTGACCAGAACTACAGACCGTATTCCAGGTGTGGGCGTACCACGGATGTATGCAGGGGCAATAGGACATTTTCAGCATTCTTAGCAGTCTTTTTCCTAACGATTCTCACCACACTGTTCACTTTGACGGTTGCTGCACACTGAGGCTAGGTTGACACTGCAGGCTTTTGCCGGCAGAGAGTATGCTAATGAAGCGCTCATTAGCATTTGTCACTGTCATTTGCATATCGCAAGAGGTTTTTGTGCAGAAACAAGCCGTGTCCATGGGTCCGTTTGGCGCAAAAAACCCCTTTTGCACAAGATCCCTTATGCCTCAAAAAAGGAGGGCTACAGGATTTTGCACAAAAGGGGTTTTTGCGCAAAATGGACCCGTCTACGCTGCTTGTTTTTGCGCAAAATGGCAGCGTGACAAACGCTAACGAGCGCTGCACTAGCGTCCTCTCTGCCGTCAAAGCAGCCTGAGGGGACACTTTCGGGGAACTCTCCTCTGACTCCCAGCCCTTTCCCAGCGGATAGCGTAGACCTCCTTTTCTGTCAGTGCGGATTATTCTTCCCACTGCGCACTGCCGTGTGTTTAGCGACGCTGGATTTCACTCGCCATGGTCCTGCCCAGTCGCCCAGTGTGGTGAGATCCCTTTGGAACGCTCTGCCATTAGCGTTGAACTTACTTATCTTGAACAATTTCGCCTCGTCTGCAAAGTTTGCTGACTCTCTGTTGACCCCCTTTTCCTGAGCCTTTATGAATGTGCTGAACCTGCCCCTCCCCTTCGTTTTCTGTCTTTTAACGAGCTGCTAACGCGGAAACCCTCCCTCCGATCCCATGGCAGCTTGCTTCACCTCAGAGCCCGTCAAAGGCTTTCTGAAGGGCTGAGTACGCGCTATCCCCTGGATCGCCCTTGTCCACATGCTGGTGGACTTCTTGTCACCCCCACATCCTGCCGGGGCTGGTTCTTGCAGGCATGGTGGGGAGGAACAAGACTGGAGCTGCAGGCCTGGCAGAGGGCTCCCTGGATACATATTGCTGGTGGTGTGCAGGGCTTAATGTGTGTCATGAGTGAGCCCCGGGCACGTGCCTCTGGGCAGGGCAGGTTGGTGCCCCCAGCAACACTGGGCCTGGCACCTCAGGGCCTCTGCACGTTATGAATTTCAAAAATGCCCTGAGCCCTGCCGCTGTTCCCTTCCACACGCAGCCCGGGACGTGTGCGGAGATGGGGGGAGGGTGGCTGTGGCCGTAGGGCTCTGCATGCGGCGGGAGGCACGTTGCGTCTTCCTGGGGCACCGGGCAGCAGCAAGGGAAGAGAACAGGACAAGCGCCAAAAGGGACAGAAAAGAGCTCCCCCCCCCAGCCGGCTCAGTGCCAGCCCTGCAGGCGGGGGCCGTTCGTAGAGCGGTGGGGCGGGTGCAGCCCCGTCCCCAACCCCAGCTTCAAGCATGAGGGAGAATTGGACCACAGGGGACCTCAGGACGTCCCCAGCTGATGGACACGGAGGCTATTCCCTGCTGGCCAGGCCCTGCTCTGCCGCTTCCCCAGAGAAGGCTACACACACCTGGTGCACCGAGTACCCCCCCCCAAAACTGAGATCAGCTGCCCATGCCCCGGGGGGGTGGCTGCCAGCTCCGCCCTTGCTCTACCGGGGACAATCAATGGCTGGCATCTGGGGCCCTGACCCCACCCATCCGGCCAAGCACCTGCTTTCCTTGAGCTCTTCCCCCCCACCCGTCTGCCCCAGGTGGCTCGTGTCCTTTCCTCCCATTGGACGCTCTCTGGGGCAGGGGCCTTTTTGGGGTCTAGGCAGCGCCTGGCAGAGAGGCCCCGATCCCTGTGTGAGGATATTGCAAGCCAAGGAACATGGACAGGGCCGCTGGAGGTGGGAGAGGGGAGGTGCTGGAAACCAGAGCTGGCCTGATCCTAGCTGCGGAGCTGGGGCTGGGCTTCTTCTAGTGCCGGGTGCTACTGCGTGGGACGTGCAAACTCCCCTGAGCCTCCCTCCCGGTGGCCAGGCCCCACGGCCACCCGCAGCCTCGCGCAGAGCGGGGCAGAGGTCAGGTGGGAGCCGCTTGACAAGGAACAGGCTCCTGTCTCCCAGCCGGCTCAAGTCAGGGCCGAAATAGCGGCAGCCCCAAGGCTACAGACGGGGCAAAAAGAAAAGAAGCGTCGTGCGAAGCAGCTGCTTCTCCAGCCGCCTCCTGGCAGGGGGCGGGCAGGGCCGGGCGGCTTCTCTCCAGCAGCTGTCGGGACAGGGCCCGTCCCAGGCGGGGCAGAGGGCAGGAGGCTAGCGCGACCCACTCGGCTGCTACTCGGGCTCGGGAAGCTCCGTGATCTTGATGTGAACAAAGAGCGAGGAGGGCGGCATGGCCGTGCCGTCCCTGGAGAGGAGGTGGATGTGCCGGTACCCTGCCGAGGAGACACCGGCGAGATGGGGTTGAGCTGCAGGGCTGCGGTGGAGACAAGGTGAGGGGGTCCTGGCCTGGCCATGCGATGCTCCCCGCGGATCTACTCTGCCGGGCTTCCCCAGCCTGATTTCAACTGCCCCCAGCACCGGGTTTCCTGCTCCTCCCCAGCATTCAGGCCGTGCCCTTCTCTAGCGCAGCATCAGCAGCGCCCGACGTCCCCCTGTGGGTCCCCATCAGCCCCTCCACAGTCCCATCTCCCTCCCTGCATCCCAGACTGGCTGGAGGTCTCCTTTCCTCTGCCCTTCGCAATCCCTCCGTGACCCGCCTGCTCCCCCACGCTGCCTGCTCCACCTCCCTCTCTCCATGGGGGTGATCAGAGGCATATACCTCTTGCTCCAGCTTGCTCCTCTGATGAGCTACTGCCCAGCTTTGGCAGCTGGCACCCCCTGGCAATGCCACGGCGAGGCTGAGCTCTGCCCCCTACCCCCGCCGAGCCCCCGGCGCTGGGCAGAGTGAGCTGTGAGCCGTGGGTCTGGCGCTCACCTGCTCTGATGCTCGTGAACGGCAGGGTGAACTGGCCCATGAAGTCGTTCCTGGACATCCTGTCATAATCCTCCACCACGAAGCGCACGAGGGCCAGTTCGGGGACGCGCACTGTGAACTGCAGCGTCTCCTCCCAGCTGGGGTTGAAGCCTGGAGGGGGAGGCAGTGATGGGCCGGGGCTGGGAGCCTGGGGGCTGGCGGCGGGAGGGCTGCCCTGAAGGAAGACAGGCTCTGGCCCATGAAGTCGTTCCTGGACATCCTGTCATAATCCTCCACCACGAAGCGCACGAGGGCCAGTTCGGGGACGCGCACTGTGAACTGCAGCGTCTCCTCCCAGCTGGGGTTGAAGCCTGGAGGGGGAGGCAGTGATGGGCCGGGGCTGGGAGCCTGGGGGCTGGCGGCGGGAGGGCTGCCCTGAAGGAAGACAGGCTCACGGGCCGAGGCCGGTGCCTTGCCCCAGCCGGCTGGGCCAGACTCACCGTTGTTACTGGCGTACTTGGGCTCCTCCGTGGCCTGGCCGGCA